GGGTCGACCTTTGTGAGGATTCAAATCTCATTTCATTCAACTTTGCTACGAAATGCCCTTACAGCAGGGCCCCCGTTGATACCAGTCTTGTGACTGAAGGGGTCACCCTGTTTAAATATCAATTATTATTAGAAAGAAACATTTTGGGTAAATGTACCTGAGGATTCAAACCTCAGACTTTCCAATATTGGTATAAAATGCTCTTCCAGCTGAGCTGAGAAAAATGTGGGTCGACTTTTCACGGAGGAATTAAAAATAATACCGTGTATTTTCGGTATAAAATACAGGCGGAAATGAAAACTTTTGGTCGACACTCGTGGGGATTCAAACCTCCGATATTCGTGTTTTGCTGTCAAATCTCGTGCAGTCATTGTTTTCTCGTACTAAGCATTGTATTTTGTTTGCTTCTTGAGTGCGTGATCAGCAGGTGATAAAGATGTAGTTATTGTTTTGCTGGAATCAAACTGCAAATATATTCAAGTTGGATTTCATGTCAGCGATCTAGTGGACAAACCAAAAGGGCTTTAAATATAAAGAGAGCTGCTTAACTGTTTAGGTAAGAAATAAATTAGAGTTATCGACGATTCGTGAAGTACGTTCGAGCTGTTTCAGTCATTAAACACATTAACTTTAAGTAAAGATATTAGACGCAATTGGAATTTTGAATATACACTGGCTGAGAACTAAAAGTATGTTTCAGCGACAATTATGAAATGTGTATCTACGGAAAATAAGAAAGATTAGAATCCAAATCATCTTAAACCGAATATTAAACGTGAAAAAAAATGAAAACAAAAATCACATCAAAACAGACGAATCAAATTTAAACAAAGAAACCCATGTATGCATGCTATTTTTAATAGAAATACAGGGAGTTGAAGGGGGAGTTAAACCTCAGATCTACCGATTTTGTTCTCAGGTACTTTATCTGCCGGCTGAGATATATGAAACTGGTGCAGTTATTGTTCTTATCACATAATTAGCATTGTTATATACCTAGACTTTCACTCAACAAAACGAGCACTGTGATTGGTTGATTCTTGGTCATGTGTCCCGACCGGGATACAATTGCGCAGTTGTTGCCCGCGCACCGAGTACAACAGCACGTTTTTTCCCTATGATTATTAAAGTCTAAATATATAGCAAAGCACTTAATGTATGGTCCCTCGGGAAACTAGTTAGTTTTGTTTTCCCTCGAATCCTGACGTTTTCCGAGACGAAGTCGAGGGAAACATCAGGACTCTATAGTGAATGTATATTGTATAATGTTTGCTTTGTGCGTATTTGTTATAAAATAAAATATCCCGACCGGGATACAATTGCGCAGTTGTTGCCCGCGCACCGAATACAACAGCACGTTTTTTCCCTATGATTGTTAAAGTCTAAATATATAGCAAAGCACTTAATGTATGGTCCCTCGGGAAACTAGTTAGTTTTGTTTTCCCTCGAATCCTGACGTTTTCCGAGACGAAGTCGAGGGAAACATCAGGACTCTATAGTGAATGTATATTGTATAATGTTTGCTTTGTGCGTATTTGTTATAAAATGGCTGTATGGGTTTTATTTTAGTATTATTGGAATCAAGTACCTGCTCAAATCAGTGGTATTCAAGGCAGAAATGGAGGAAACCGATCAACAGAACTCTACATGCAAAGAGTGCTGCTTAGTTGTTCAGGTAAGAATGGAACGAGATAAACCGATTCTTCATGAAGTTTGTATAAACTGTGCAATATGTAATATACACGTATCTTGGCGGTTATATAATGAAAATGTTAGCTGTAACTAAATATCACCCTTTGCATTGGTTATAATGACTGCAAATGTGACATGAGACATTTTCTCCGTTTCCTTTGTAAGGTTTGGCTTAAGAAACCACCTTCTACTTTCGAACTTTTATAGGAAAAGCATTTTAAGGAAACAGTTTGAAAGTTCTGGTGTTTATGTATTATGTGTTTTTCAACAAGGAAACAGTTTAAAAATTGCGGTGTCAGTGCATCGCGTGTTTGTCAACAAAGAAGCAGCTTAAAAGTTGCGGTGTCAACACATCGTGTTTGTCAACAAGGTAGCAGTTCAAAAGTTGCGGTTTCTATGCATCGTGTGTTTGTCAACAAGGAAGCCGTTTAAAAGTTGCGGTGTCTGTGCATCATATGGTTGTCAACGAGGGAGCAGTTTTTAAGTTGCGGTGTCTGTGCATCATGTGGTTGTCAACAGGGGAAGCAGATTAAAAGTTGCGGTGTCTGAGCATCATGTGGTTGTCAACAAGGAAGCAGTTTTAAAGTTGCGATGTCTATTCATCGTGTTTTTATCATAAGGGAAGCGGTGTAAGCGTTGCAGTGTCTATGCATGATCTGATCATCATAAAAAGAAGCAATTTTAAAGTTTCAGTGCCCTACTACGTATCATACGAGCGTCAAAAAGTAAAATGATAAGTAATGAAATAACGTATTTCCTCGAATAAGCGCCCTCGCTCCAACAAGCGCCCCCCTTCGAATGAATGCTCATCCCCTAGGCCATAATGTCAATAAAGCGCCCCCTCGAATAAGTGCCTCTCCCTTTCCTCCCTCACGGTCTTAAATAGTAGTACGTGGAAAACCTGTTTCCATTGCTACTTTATTCGTAATTCGTTAAGCCTCGACTACAGCGGAACCAGTGCAGGAGAGTAGTTTCTTTTCCGTTAAGTCTCTTCCAATTATTTCTGTCTCCATTTTCGAGCAGAGTTCCATATATTTGCGTCATCTGTCCTTTTTAATTTTTTACTAGTGCTGCGCTAACTAATATGCGCCCTTCTGCGAATAAGTGCCCTCCTTTTAAGCTGAAATTTTAAATAAGCGCCTGGGCGCTTATTCGAGGAAAAAGGGTATAGAAGTTTGACTTGAAAAACAAAGAAAGGAACAATTTGAAATAAAAAGGTAACAATGAAAATAAATTAAAAATAAATAATGAAAAAAAAACAAACAAACAAACAAACAAACCCGTAAACCACAAAAAACAAAAAAATAATTAAAAAAAAACAAAAAAACGCCATGCTGAACCTCGACATACACCTAAAATACTTCACAATTGTGCTTACCTTTATAAATAGACTCTTATTGACTTTACTGTGGGTTTCAAGACCTGATGTTCCCTTAATCATTAGTTGTCTATAAAGGCTTAGTGGAAACAATTGTCTTGTTTCTTGTTTCGTTACCGGCCAGAAAATTAATGCTTCAACGATTCCTCCGACCTCTGATTTCTAACTTTGGTTCTCAGACATTCGATTTTTACTTCCGGCTATCGACTTTCAATTTCTTGGTTTCCGGCTTCGAATTTTTAATCTACGATCATATTTCGGATTTAATTTTGGACATTCGATTTCGGGTTCGGAGTTTTACATCCGACGATTGACGTAAAATTTTCTGACTTCCGGCTTCGGATTTTCAATTTACGACTTCAGACATTCGATTTCGGAGTTCGGAGTTTGGAGTGTACTTCGAACCATTGACATATAATTTTCTGACTACCGACTTCGGGATCTTAATTCATAACTTTCGACTTCTAAGCCTCCAACTTCCTCGTCTCTCACTATGAACTTTCCGAAATGATTTTGAGGGAACTGTTATTTCTTTGGATTGCAATAAGTGCGAGCAAAGGTTCCATTTTGAATGCAAATTAAAATTAGCCGAGAGGACTTTTTAGGCAGGCCACCAAGAGACTTCAAGACTGATAGAGGTATTAGAATTGACATTTGTCAGCAGACTCGTATTCTCAGATCTCCATGAAGAGAGGGGAGCTTGAAATTGTGGATTTAATTATCTTAGCGCTATTATTGTCGCAGTTTTTGCTTTTCGCTCCTCTTCCGCTCTCATCTCTTCTTCTCCCTGTCGACGCCATAATTTTTCAAAGCTCTATCCTCTGATTTCCGCAATCCCTCTCTTTCTCTTTGTTTTTATTTTAAGTAATAGGAAATTCTATTCTACCGACCCAGTCTTTCCTGCCCTCTTAAGCCCTTGTTGGTCTTTCAGACAAGATAATTTGGTTTTAGGAACTGAGTTGATAATGTAAATTGGCCACCGTAAAGAGTTTCTAAAGCTGGCGTTTTGAGCGTTAGCCCTTCGTCAGAGCGAATGTTGAATAGGATAGCAGTAACAGTTGAATAATCGTTAGAGATTTTCGTTAAATCAAGTTAATTTAAAAATCCTCTCTCGGTTAAATAATTGATATTGAAGAAAAAAGATGTGTGAATCGCGAAATCACTGCAGTAAATGATCACTTAGCGGAAAAGCTCAAACTCAGAATCGACTTCTAAAATGTAAATTGCTTCTCTGTAACCTTGACAAACGGCCTGCCCCTCTGACGAATGCTTTGAAAAATCAAAGGAAGCACAACATGTGTTACTTTTTCATGCAGTGTATGAGATATACTAAATTTTTAATCAAGCTTTGAAGAGACAGAAAAATCAATATGAAAAATCAAGAGTCTTCATGCGGCTCATCAAATGCATGATCATTTCCCGTTTGATAATTACATTATGTTATAATAAGTGTGCTGCGACACAGATTACATCCCCATAATTTGTTTGGAAATCAAATTGTCAACGTTATTAAATGAAAACGGAAATTGAGTTAAATTTATCAAATCTACATAACAGGATAAAAGTTCAAATACTTGTCATTACAATTATATAATTGGTTCAGTTTTTCTTCATTGAAGTAATTAAGAAATCGTATTTCTTTAAGTTAATTTGTGTTTTGATATGATATTTCCCTTCTTTGCAGCCCTATATATAAATGTTACACTGCTGGATATTTGCAAACAAAATCTGGTCATCAAAAAAAAAAAAAGGAATTTGAATTTCCAATAGAAAATTTGAAATTAAATTTACTCTCGGTCAAGGCCGCTTGAGAATCAACAGAAAGCAAACAAAACTATTAGAAAAATGTACACCTCCATCATCGTCACATAATTTAATGCGGAGAGTCAATGTTTCATTCAACACTGTCTTAAACGATCTCCATCGGAATTAAAACTTGATAAAAAAGACTGATCATATCAGGGGTTCAGTTTATGCGATTGAGGTGAATTTTAACTTGTGTATATATGTTTACTGCCCATGTATTCATGACTAAACTTGATCAAGTTTCGTGCGCGCACGGAGGCGTAAATTGGAGGTTTGAAGAACTCATACAATTATGCATTCATTTATATTGTTAACTTTTTCTGTAGTTAGCCAAACTGCTCTTTTTGCGGTTTCAGTTGAAGTAAAACAACTTTCAAAGGAACGAAAACACTAATAAGAATGAAAATGTGGTTTTTGGCTGAAAATCAGATCTAAAAGTAGAAAAATCCTTGAATGAACTGTTCAGTTTAAGAATCGGTATTTTTAGGCTGGAATATCCTCATCTTTAGCTGGTCGTAAAAACGACAATAGATATTTATTTCAATCACTAGAGAGATACTAGAGCACGGAATTTTGCCTTACCCGCTTGAAACATCTCAACAAAAGTTCTTTGAAACTCTCCGTTAAAGCCCGCGTAAACAAAAACGTTTATCATTGCGTTTGTGTATATCATACAAACGGCAATTTTAGTGACTGCAGGCGGCACTTTAGATACTCCAAATGCTCCGACAAGATCAATTATTGTGATAGGCAGAACAAGGACTATAAAAAACCCCACCAAAATTATGACCATCCTTGCAACTCGCTTTTGTTTAAGGGCGAATGTCCTGTTGTACTGCCCTGTACTTGCCGGTTGATTTCTGCCGCTGAATAACATTGCGCTGACATTACGGTAGTAAGTGTTAACACTATTTTCCACCTGCACTTGTTGTACGTGAATGACCCGCAATTGCCTGTGGCTGGCTTTGAGAAGAAAGCAGTTGATTGATGTAGCCAATATCAACGGAAACAAACAGAAACCGATCAGAAACGTTAGCAAATACGAAGTGGATAAATTTGTTGAGAAGAAGCATAAACCATGATTGTGGCGAAGGACTTCTTCGGGAGCTGAGCCGACACCCACAATCGGTAAAATTGCAAAAAGTGTCACGATAGTCCATCCACTTGCCACAAAAACAGCAACAGCTCTGTTTGTCATGTACAAATTGTATTTGAAAGGAAATTTCACAGCTGTAAGTCTGTCAATGCTGATAAAAACGATGTTTATCCTTGATAATCCATCGAAGAGAATATTCACTGCTATGACAACACCACAAGGAATGAGGCCCGGCTGAAACACTTCTACAAGACGTAAAGGAACAGCCAGGGAGACTGTCAGCAAGTCACATACAGCCAAATCAAAGATAAAATAATTGGGAATAGTTCTTAGCCTTCGCTTGTAAAGAATGGCGACAATAACCAATAAATTTCCAGCGGTTCCTACAACAGATACGAACACCATGAAGGAGGTGGTGAGAACTGAATCAATCGACATCTTGCGGCAGTCAGATTGTCGTGTGACTATATTTGCAGTGTTTGTTTGAGTAAGGCTGTCGCTGATAAAATAATCAATAAGAATATATTATTTTTTGCTGTGTAGCTGATAATTGTGTAGGTAGCGATCCGAGCTGATACGAGGTGAGAAGTGGATCGATGTTATATTCCTTTTTCGGCTTCCCAACTGATGTTCGAGTTCCGTCTTACACATTTAAACGTCACTCATTCTTGAAGCATAAACCAAAAAACTAATTGTTATTTGATCAATTTTTTGTCTCTGTGCGGGACGAGGCTCCTCAATTACTGTATGCGGTTCCTTCAATCTTTTGTTCACAATCATCAAAAATGCTAATATGCGGGCCGCTTTCAGAAAAATAAAAAAGTTGCCTTAAGGACGAAGTGTTAAAACGCTGAGGCTGATGCTGATATTTTCTCTAAGTAACGTCATATAATCTTTCTTTACGTCAGTAGAAAAACACTTTTGGATTTATTTCTGATTTGATAATATCACTCAATTTCCGCTTCTTTTTGAGAAGAGAGTAAGTTATAAAACATAATTTCAAGCCTTGATGAAAGGTGTTCCTTACGTGCGACAAACAAAAGAATACATTATCGATATTTTTTATTGACATTTGAAAATTTTTTAATCTTAAGATAAATTCGTGTCAACAGCAGCTCAGAAAACTCAGTGAAATGTCGTTGGAGATAATATTAAACATGAGGCCAAAATTAATTTGATGATGGCTATATTTCATGATTTCAATTATTTCTTTTAGATCAAACTAATGCTAAAATCAATTTCTTTCAGTTTGAAAAGACTGTAGTTTTTAGGTAAAACCGTAACGGCTCTATCTGGTCGTTCGAATAAAGCAAATTAGTTTCATTTTATTTCATTTACGTTAATAAACCTTGCCTGATGATGATTCTACTTTCAAAACTGAGGCTCTCCACCGGAAAAAAAGACAAAAACAACCTGAAGATTGGCATTTAATCTTCCTGAATGACTTTAAATCGATATCTTTGTAAATATCTTTTGAGATAGAACTTCAATTCAAGTTACAATCATTACCACGGCACTTGCTCGATTTTATGAAGCTGTTTCGCGAGATTTCACCATACTCAGCAAGTAGGAGCTCGGAAATCAATTTAGTAAAACATAGAAATAATCGCATTTGTAACAATGACGGAGAAATGTTATAAATACGAACGACTATAATGATAGCAAAAATTTAGAGTTATAATAACGTTGGTGTTTTTTAACAGTTTGGCCCTGTTGATCTCATATTTTATTTTTAAGGCCGATAAAGCAAATTTCTTTCTTTGAAGTTGTGATTTTGTCATTTAAAAGGTAATTTCCTGATCGGTGCAAATGTAACCCTGTACTGAATAATTCGAAATTAAACCAATAAATTGGGTCAAACATCCTCAAACAGTTCCTCTGTTCTAAAAAGTAATGAAATTGCCTCGGAAGCAGGCTTGCAGTGTTTTTGTGAGTTTGTTTGCACTGGAATCGTAAAATTGTTTTGCAAATTTCGCGAATGTCATTGTCTTACCTGTGGCGTCAAAATTTTGGATGCAAATAAATTTCCGTTTCACGAGGATATGTTCTTATGATATGAACAACAAACGGAAGGGTGGGCAAACTTTTTTGTTTGCAACATCAAATACGACGCCGAACAACACGGAACTGATTTATCATTCACAGAACCTCCCTATATTGCCTAGATTCATTCGTGGTTTTCGGACTTGAGCCAGAACTTTCTCCAGATTAGTGTGAAAAGACAGTCTTCGATTCCAAATAGAAATTAGAAAAACCCGCTTTTTATCCAAGATATTGTTTTGCACATGATAGCAAGGAAAGCTACTAGAACTCATTCGAACGTGCTAAGCGATTCTTCACCTCAATAAGCTTTTTGTCTCACAAGGGTATCTTAATTAACAGTACATCAATCGATCTATTATTAAGTGTCAAATACAGATATAGAGTAGTGGTTTTCAATAGTATAACATCGACTCATCTTTTCTGATTTTCTATCCATTGAGCTTGTAGATCCAGTAGTCTAATTTTCAAGACCACTAAACCTACTGTACTCATTGATTTGGTTGGAAACTTGCCTGTGCAACTTGATTTATGTGCTGATCACAGGAGCTCGAAGACTAAATAAACTTCGTAGGGATGGCTGTTACAAAAGAAACCTGCCTCTCTGAGGTCGCATTTTGACAGCAATATCGCCATGGTAACAAGGGGACATCAAGGCAGCATTTTCCAATTTTATCAAGGTTTATTTTCCTTTTTATACCAACATTATTGAAATTTGATTTGACCTTTTTCGAAAAAGGAAAAAAAGTGTTGACAAAAATTTCTATATCGCCAGATTACGGTTTATTTCAAGTTGACCTGTAATTTCTTTACTGCACTCAGTGCTCTTAATTAGCGTTTAAAATATTTTTTTATTAAACATTTCATTAATACTTGATCATCATTTGTTTCATATCCACTTATGGATAGCAATTTTATCTCCTTCCTCGCGTTAACAATATTTTTAGTTCTCTGAACTGTATCATTGCACGTCCATGTAATAATATCCTCGGATCGTAAAACATTTGATTGAAAATTTTTAACCGCAGTTTCTAGCTTCAAAATAAACACCAACTTTCTTCATTGTCAGTGGTTTGTTATTGTTTCTCTGGGCATGTTAGTCCATTCGGAATCCTTTGCTTGTCTGCATTTGTTTCTACTTTTTCTTTTGCTTGCATCTGCGTAGTCTGTTTGCTCATCATTCTGAGAACTGGTGCCAGCTTTAGTTTTCTCTTAAGCTGAAATCGATAAATTAGGACATATAGAGGCTAGCTAATTTTTGGGGAAGGTGATAGAGATATGACCCTAAAGATAATACAAAACCCTAATAAAGCAAAATTACTGTTAAATTCAAATTTCAGTCAACGACTGAGATAAGTAATCGTTGAATGTTGTCTTTCAATAGATAATGAAACTGACAAAAGTTCAAATAAGGCCTTAAACTACTGTAAAAATCTTTTAAAAATCCAAACTTTCGCCGATCCACGGCATCCACAGGGACAAGAAAAAAAAAAAAGTAAAAGGAAAAAGGAAAACTGAGATCAGCTTTAAAAGTCTGAAAAACAGAAGCTTCATGGCAAAATAGAATGTGATCAAAGAGTTTGAAACTTTACGACTAGTTTCTTCAGAGTTCGACATTGTTTCATGTTTTGTTAATGATGAGCCATTTAACTTCTCCGTTATATAAGACTTCAGCAGAACTCGCGCGTCGTCAAGCGTTCAAACTTCCTTGCGTGTGAAATATGAAATAACAAATATTTACCTTGAACTTTCTTTTACCGACTCTATTATTGCTGGAAAATGCCTCATCGTCGGTGATCAAAGAAGAAAGGATGAAAAGGAAAAGTACGATGTAGATAAACCTTAAATTCGCCATAAGTTTTTTTTTTTTTTTTCATAAAATCGACCTTTGACTCAGCATGCGAGATTGTAACGACCGGACGGATACGAATGCATCACGTTCAGTTCATGTTGATATATAAGCCCTCTATTCAACGACTCTGCAAACTTTCCTTCACTGCTACCTTAAGCTTAGTTGTCACATTTGTCGCTCTCTGATTGGCCAAGACGACGTTTTATCGTGCCACCATGTTGCTAGAACAAAGCTGTGAAAACACGTGTTCGTTTAACTTGTTTCTTCAGCTGCTCTCCCAAGTCACTTATGCCTTGGTAGGGTTTATAATTTCTCACGGAGGGTGTCAACGTTTTGCTTTCACAAGGGAATCGATGTATCGTGATCGTTAATATTTGTTTCTTTTATGACCAACTCTCTACTATCGCATGGTATTCTCAAAAGAGCGTTTACATTCCTGTAACGAACGGCAACAAATGTGTAAAAATGAATAAAAGAAAAAGGGAGCGTCTGCTGAAAAAAGGTTTAACTCCCACACAATGATTGATTCTATACACAACTGCTCTAATAGGCACCTTTATGTGATTGGCATGACTTCCTGTGGAAATGATATTTACTATTGGAGTTTGAACCTTATTTCACAATCGATGGCCAAAAGCGTTCTTAACTGAAAGACAAAGTAACATTCTCAATGTACAGCAGGTGATTTAAAGTTCGTGGTTTATCTTATCTTTTTGGAGGTAACATTTTGAACAAGAAGTAATAGAAATTACATCACTCAAGTCGTGTTAAAGCCCCTTTTATTAAAAAGCTCACCTACGTGCTTTGTTAATGTCACCTTTCATGTAAATTCTATCCTTGCTTCATGAATTAAAATAAAGCGAAATCATCGTGCTTTACAGATGATCGCCAACTACAGATGATCGCCAACGACAAAGGAAGGGTTTTATATGAAAACTTTCTGTTTAAATCAGTTAGATAGGTAGTGAAAAAGTATCTTTTCTTGTTCACAGACAATTGAAATAGTCCCAGTTGATTTTTTTCAAACGGCCCGAGACAGAAGAAAACGTTATCGCATGAAATTTAAAGTGTCTTCAGCTGACAGAAAGTCTGAGAAGTTTAAGTGGCATATCGTGTCAAAGTAGACAGGTGCCGCCTTTTACGCCGGAGTAATTTTTCGAAAAACTTTACTACAGTAACTTGTTGTCCTTCGAGATTTCGGGGGCTGCTTTTAATGAACAAATTTACGTTTCGACGCGAAGGCTTTGACGTGAGGTGGGCTATGCCATCTTATAATGGAAAAAAGGCGCTGCTTTTAGATTCAAGGAAAAATGAATGATCATAAGTATTTCCAAGTCATCTGCATGAAATCAGCATCACTTTTATATGCAAAAAGTGTTAACATGGAATTCTGATCATGAGGCTAAACAAATCGTCAGAATCATAGCGTCTACATCTTTGCCATTACAATTTGCAGCTCTGTTTTAGTTTAACTTTTTCCAAACGAGTAGCTTGCAAGTGGGCGTAAGGCTTCCCTCCAAAGGAAAATATTTGTACAACTAAAAGATCGAGACATCTTCTCAAAATGATCCTTTCACTAATGTTTGAAATTTGATTCACAGCCATCCTACGCTGAGAAATAAAGAATATTCCCTTTCATTAAAAGAGGCACACACCATCGGTTTTGTAATCAACATTTAAAGATATTCTACCCCATTCTTGATAGTACTTTTGAAATCACGAACTTTTTTGATGAGTCAGCTTGGATAATTTCAGATATATCAGCAATTAATTTAAGATTCAGAGCCAGACCTAACTACAGG